CTTTGTGTCTCTTGTTTGGGCTTGTTGTTATGACTTCTTAATAAACAACTGTAGTGAGATTTCATTTTTATCGAAAAACCTCAAATTTCTTTACATGAATGCTCTGAGCCTCTGACCAACATGCGTATTCTCCGAGGTTCCTCAACTTCACTCTTTCAGGATTCTCAAATTAGACAGCTAATCCAGCAATGTTCGACCCCGAAGCTTCTGGATTCTGCTTTAGCAGCCATGATCAAGACCAGTCAGAACCAAGATTGTTACTTGATGAACCAATTCATCACTTATGCTTGCACTTCCTTCAAGCGTCTTCGTCTTCAGCTCGCGGTTTCCTCCATGAACCAGATGCAGGAACCTAATGTTTATGTCTACAACGCGTTGATTAATGGCTTCGTTACTTGTTCTTACCCAATTCGATCTCTGGAACTTTATGTTCGTATGCTCAGGGACTCTGTTTCTCCATCAAGCTACACATACCCTTCATTGATAAAGGCTTCTTTTTCCGCTTCTGGGTTTGGTGAATCGGTTCATGCGCACATCTGGAAACTCGGGTTTTGTTTCCATGTTGAGATTCAGACGACTCTTATCGGTTTTTATTCGGCTTTCGATAGAATCAGGGAAGCTAGGAAAGTGTTCGATGAAATGCCTAAGAGAGATGGTATTGCTTGGAGTGCAATGGTTTCTGCTTATCGAAAGGTCTTGGATATGGACTCTGCGATTTCTTTAGCTAACCAAATGCCAGAGAAGAATGTGGTGGCTACATGGAATTGTTTGATTGATGGATATATGAAATTAGGCAGTGTGGACCAGGCAGAGTCATTGTTTAATCAGATGCTTGTGAAGGATATAAAAACATGGACGACTATGATCAACGGTTACTCGCATAACAAGAGATATAGAGAAGCAATCTCAGTGTTCTGCAAAATGACAGAGGAAGGGATTATTCCTGATGAAGTTAATATGTCAACTGTTATTTCAGCTTGTGCCCATCTCGGCATGCTGGATATAGCTAAGGAGGTTCATATGTACATGGTGCAGACCGGGTTTGTTCTTGATGTCTACATTGGTTCTGCACTGGTAGATATGTATTCAAAATGCGGTAGTCTAAATCGAGCGCTTTTGGTATTCTTAAATTTGCCAGAAAAGAATCTCTATTGTTGGAATTCGATCATTGAAGCGCTTGCGGCTCATGGTTATGCACAAGAAGCTCTGAAAATGTTTGCCAAGATGGAGATGGAGTCTGTCAAACCCAACGCAGTTACTTTTGTGAGTGTTCTAACTGCGTGTACTCACGCAGGTCTTGTAGAAGAAGGCCGGAAGATATATCGTAGCATGATTGATGACTATTTCATTGACTCTAACATTGAACATTACGGATGCATGGTTCATTTACTCAGCAAAGCTGGGTTGATCAGAGAGGCTCTTGAATGGATTGGAAGTATGGAATTTGAACCAAATGCGGTTATCTGGGGGGCGTTGCTTGATGGGTGCAAACTTCACAAGAATCTAGAGATAGCTGAGATAGCGTTTAACCAACTGATGGTTTTGGAGCCGAGGAATACTGGGTATTATTTCCTCTTAGTTAGCATGTATGCAGAAGAAAACAGGTGGAGAGATGTTGCAGAGCTTAGGGGAAAGATGAGAGAGTTGGGTATAGAAAAGATATGTCCTGGGGCAAGTTCGATTGAGATCGATAAACAAGTCCATCTGTTTGCTGCAGCGGATAAATCACACTCAAATTCAGATCAGGTTTGTTCGTTGCTCGAGGAGATTAATGAGCAGATGGGATTAGCTGGATATGTGCAGGAAACTGAGAATGTATATTAAGAATTACAAAACACATTGGAGCCTATCACCAGATTCTCGTCAAAGAGGTTTTTCATCCAATATCTTTTTCTCAGTTTCTTCGAATAAGACCTTGTGCGTAAGTCAATCTTGGTGCTTCATGTTTCATACATTCTTCATCAAAACCATGCTGCAGATATCAATAGCTAAATGTTCTAGCAGACTTCAGTGGCAGATAGTCCAATGGGTTTTCGATATCGTTTGATGCCCATTTTCCGTCTCACATGATTCACCATCTCCCACATCCCAGCATCAGCATATATGTTAGAAAGCAAGACGTAGAGGCTTGATTCATCGGGTTCCATTGATAAGAGCTTCTCTGCAATTTCTTCTGCCAAGTCGACTTCTTTATGGATTCTACATGCACTCAGAAGAGCTCCCCAAGCACTGGCCATTGGTTTCACAGGCATGTTGTCAATAAAAGACTTAGCTTCCCCAATTTTACCAGCTCGACCTAGCAAATCTACCATACATGCGTAATGTTCTTCCTCTGGCGCAATCCCGTAGTCGCTTGTCATCGATCCAAACTGCTTCCATCCTTCTTGGACGTTTCCCGAGTGGCTACAGGCTGACAAAAGCGAAACAAATGTCACGGAGTTTGGAACTAGATTCTGCGACTTCATTTTATCAAAGCAATCCAGAGCTTCTTCCAGCAGACCATTTATCCCAAAAGCATTAATCATCGAGCTCCAAGATATCACATTTCTCTCTGGCATCATATCAAAAACTTTCCGAGCCATTTGAATATTACCGCATCTGGCATACATATCAATGAAAGCTGTAAAATTTACAGCGTCCATTTCAATCTCATTCCTTATCATGTAGCCGTGAACACTTTTCCCGTGCCTTGGAGATCCCAAGCTCGAGCAAGAAACAAGAAGGGCTGCCAAAGTACACTGATTTGGAGGTATCGATTCTCCCTGCATCTGCCTGAACAGATCAAATGCTTCCATAGCTCTCGCACACTTTGCAAATCCAGAAATCAGAGTAGTCCACATTACCACATTCTTATCACCACTTTTTTCAAAAAGTTTTCGGCCGTTGTCCAACAATCCGCATTTCACATACATATCTATGATCGAGGCTTGTAAATAACCACTCTGATCTATAAAGCTCCTTCTAATGGACATTCCATGCACTGATTTCCCTTCTTTGCCAGCAAAAGTATTTCCACAAGCCTTTACCAAACATATCAAAGTAAGCGCGTCGAGCACAAAACCTGTGCCTCTCATGAGATTATACAAACGGAATACTTCTGGGTCCTTGGAGTATTTCAAATACCCTTTCATCAAAACTCCCCATAGTACTGAGTTTCTCACAGGAATTTCGTCGAACACCTTCTGCGCACTTTCCATAGTACCGAATTGTGCATACATCTCAACCAACGACGGAGCAACGTAATCGTCCTTATCCAACCCACACTTCATCGCCAAGCCGTGAATCTCCAACCCATTTTCCAAAAGACCTAAACCAACACAAGCTTTAATCGCAAATACCAAATTGAAACTGTCGACGGATCCATCACAATTCCTCATCATTCGGTTGTAAAGTCTTAAGATTTCACCATAATTCTTGGATATGGAGTAACCAGAGAGAATCGTATTCCACGAATGTCGATTCCTCTTCCAGGAAGGGATTCGATTGAAAGAAGCAGTAGCGAAATCGAGACGATCCGATTGGATATAAGCGTTAGTGACACTGGATCCCAGAACAACTTCTTCTTCTAATCCATGGATTATGACCTTGGCGTGAACTTGCTGAGTATGGTGTAGTGTTTTGGTTTGTGTCAGGATTGTTAAAAGAGCTTTGGTTCTGTTCGCCGGAATCATCGACGGAAAAAAACGCAGCCGCGAGAAAAAGTCAAATATATGTTACCCGCGCCATATAAAAGTCAACTCCCGTAACTAATAGTAAAACAAAGCAAACACAAAACTTATTAATTTTATTTTCCAGTATTAACGAATTCAACACAACAAAACCAAAAATAAACAATATAAATCCACACAAAAAAATAATAATTTTTTTTTTTGCTAACCAAAAATAATAATTCAACACGTAAATTTGGCATTTAATAATATCAAAACACGTGTTTTTTTCCTTCTTGTCTCAATGTGTTTTTGCGTTAAGAATTTCCAAGGAATTTCAGTGTGTTGGGCTTTGTTACACACTGATATCTGTACACACATACAGACTGTTGTAGTATATATGTCTTTAGTTTATAAAAATGCTTATGTACCTACCAATGTATATCTTTCGTTTATTTTGGTCGAGACTTTGAGAGTTAAGACTGAATCAAACCTGCCAATTGAATTTTTCTGTTTGAATTTTTTTTCTTTCATTTTTCGCTTGATGAGACATTTGACAATTTCCAAGTTCATTTGCTTGGTGTGGTTTTCGGTCTAGGTGATATCATGTCGTTCCGACCTCCAAAAGCTTACGTAAACTTTCGTCATGATGTGTTTAAATGTTGTAAGAAAAAAAAAATTTTAAATCGATATATGAATTATGGTTCGGATTCTATTTAAATCTGGTTTGGAATGATGAAATCAATCGAATGAATGTATACCGGTGTAGCAATTTTTCTATTTCATCCTTTTTTCAGGTTTATTTGTGAAATATATATACATTGCGGTCCAAGGCAAGAACCGTGTCATGTCTTAACTTGTTTGATCAATTCTAATATTGGTTCAAATGTTGAAAAACCAAGTCTTTACTAGTAAAAGTCAAGCCACAAGAATATCTAAGTAAGACCATTAATCCCCAAAGTCACACAAAGATACCATTTTAACGATCAATCAACACCGAAATCAGAAACCTTATATATATAGGTCATATCAAATCAAATTGTGATACGAATCAAACAACGAGTAAAAGCCATACAACAACTTTTACGTGCTAAACAAAAAAAAAATATTAATACATACAAAAAACAAGAGAGAGAGAGAAATGATGATGAAGAAACAATTGATACTTGGAGTGATTTTGCTCGGACTCATGGTGATTTTCTTTGAAGCCACACATGTTGAAGCGGCTAGGCCGTTTCGAGCCGACGGTGAGATCCGTCTCGTGTTCCAGTTGCTGCAAAGAGGTACGACTCCACCGTCAGGTCCAAACGGTTGTACCAGCACGCCAGGAGGTTCGGGCACGTGCCACGGCTGAGCCGTCACGTGAGTCTGATTTTACATCTGGTTATTTCATTTAATTATTTTCCTAAGGTTAATGTAATAAACCCAACATAGTTTCGGATATTCGTTCTATTTTGATGCACTTAATTGTAACAATTATGAAAGCAAATGTATGTATTCATTAACTTTGTAAAAGCTTCCAAAGCTAGTTGATGAGA